TCCTCGTATTTCTGCGCACTTTCACCCATCACTGGCTCGGTGTCCCGTAGCGCGACTCATGATGCCCCTTTGTGTCCCGGTCAGTCCCCATCAGCTTCCACCCTTGGTCCACCCTCCTTTCTGGCCTTCGGACCCTGCACAGAGTCCATCTGCCCCCTTGCATCTTTCACGGGCCTTTAGCCATAGCCACCACAAACATCACTCGATTGTGTATTCTTCTACAAAACCAGGAACGTTTATTTCTCTAAATGACATTTTTTTTTCTTTTTTAGTACCAGGGATCAAACCCGGGTCCTTGCACTTGCGAGGCAGGCGGCAGCACCGCTGAGCTAAATCCCTGGCCCAGTTGTCATTTATTTTTCACCAAAGTGTCTGGATTCTCTTTTGGTCTCTTTTATTTCATTGCTTTTCAGACCAACAATCAAACATTGCTTCTGTTTCAAGAGGATAATTATGTGTTTGTTCACACCCGGTATACAGGTAACAGCAGAAATAAGCAAGAGGAATACACACACTATAATCAGGGGAGAAGAAGCCATACTTCTAAAATTAATTACTAATGATCGGGGAATATTTGCTAGACTTCAAGGATAAGTTTAAGATATGTCACACTACTCTCAACATTGTGGGAAAATGGCACAATCCCAATGAACTCCATTCTCCTTATAGCCCACCCATATCGAAGGAAGTCCAATCTGGCCACATAAATTATGTAAAATCAAGTACCAGTCTTTAATCATACAGCTCAAACAATAACACTTCGAAAAAAATCCGTTTCCTTTCCTCCTGAGTTCTCTCATACCTGAGAGCCATTTGAGAATCTGTCCCCACTTTCTAATCCAAATTAAAACATGAAAATTGAGCTTCCCCAGCCTTCAGCTTCTGGCTCTCTCCCTCCATTTACAACTCCACGTATATGGGATAGACTGGCTTAGTTTTGCAGCTTTTTTATTTTCTTCAATTTCCTCCATAATAACTATTTCCGCATCTCTTTTTGTCTACAGTTTCAGCCCAGTGTCTTGCTACCCAGACTTGCAGATTTATTAGGCAACAGTGTGACATTGTTAGGTGCCCAGGGCAGAGAAACACTTGGCAAAGTGGAATTCTTTTTGCCACAGGCAACGGAAAAGGAAGAAAAGAGAGGGAAATGGCTATGAACACTCACGTCTTAAAAGTTCTCCATGACATTATTTTTCTGAGACTATATCCAACCATCACTGCTCATTAGGTTGTAAGGAAATACAACCTGCATATAGGACAGGAAATTCTTCTCCTTGGGTGAAAATAGGTAAAGACAGTTATCTGTATCATAAAACATTTCAGGAACAAATCTATAATGATAACAGGGTAAAATACTTCGTCCAAATTATTAGTGATTTCTTCTTCGATTGGAGAGACCATGAAAAAGAAATACATCTTTCTCTGAATTTGTCATGAAACCTTGGTGATGGCTTTTAGAATTCTATGACACACCTACAAACCGTATATCAATGAAATCCTTACTTGTCATGTTGCTTGCCATCTCTCAGTCCACCACTAATTCTGCTATGTAATTCATTTATAAAACTGATACTGTACAATAAATCCCGAGTCTCCAGTGGAAAAGATGAAGAATAACAGTTACTATGCTATAATAGTCGGCTTTCCTGTTGCTCAGACACAATGCCTGATACCATCAGTTTGGAGGAGGACAGGCTTAATTGGGCTGATGGTTTCAGAGGGTTCAGTCTATAGTCAGCCGGCTGCAAGGCAGGGACATCATGGCAGAAGACTATGTGGAGCAAAAATACCTTAGTGCAAGGTGATCAGAACGAAAAGCAAGGGAAGGGGCCAGGGACCAGCTGTAGTCCCCAAGGTCCTGCCTCCAGGAACCATTCAGACTCACCTAGCATGCTCCACACATCCCCTGGGCGCCTTCCAAGCCAATCAAGTTTAATCCCGTTTAAACATCACACATGCATCGAGTCCTTCTGAATTCCGGTCCCTACGGGAGGACACAAGTGATCCTCATGCGGCCATTAGGAATTAAATTCTCCTTTTATCTCCAGTTTATAAGTGAAGAAACTGAGCTGCTATAAGTTAAGTAAATATCCCCAGGCAATGGCAAAGCCAGGATTTCTCCACTCCTGAGCCCCTGGTTTGACAACATTTCCCCGTGTTCTCTATGCCAGGTAGAAACGAATTTTGCAAGCTGACCTCAGGAGTACACAGTGATTAATTAATTAATTAATCTAATCACATAGCAGATGTGCGCCCACCCTCGGCAGCAGTCTGCCGTTCAGTGAGTTCCTTCCTAGTACCTTTCCAAACCACCTTGCCTTTTGCAAAAGTTTCCCTCCTCAGAGCATTTCTTTCCCCTTTCTTGAAAAGTCTGAAATTTCACCCATTTGGAAATGCATTCTGGGTCCCTAGTATCATTTTGTAAAAGTTAAATGTCTCTTAAATACAGGAACCACAGCAAGGCAAAATATTTAAAACTCCACTTTGTCCCTGTGTACCTACTCCCCACCTTGTTTCAGAGATAGTTTACAGCAATCTGCAAGAACACATTTAAAATAATTATTTAAATAGCACAACATGAAAGAAGAGTTAAAAGAAAAGAGAAAAACAAAGACGGGGATGCGACATGGAGGAAAAAATGAGGCTTGAAATGGATCCCATCAAAACCC